TGAGACCCATACTCTCCATTCTATCCAATAACACCTCATGGTCCACAACATCAAATGCCTTTTTTAAATCGACAAATACAGTAGCAACATATTTATTTTTATCAAGTTGGTTACAAACGTAATCAGCGAAATCTACCACAGCACTTTGAGTTGAAGAGTTTTCCAGGAATCCATACTGAAAACTATCAATTAAATTGTGTTTTTGTATAAATTCTAATACTCTAATTTTAATGATTTTTTCGACAATTTTAGAGAAGATGCTTATTACAGATATAGGCCTATAGTTTTCTAGTGATGTGGTATCTGATTGTTTATGGATTGGAATAACTCTAGTAATTTTTAGCTCTTTAGGATATATCCCCGTTGTAATAATTTGATTTGTCAGTTTTGTAATAATTGGCAATACAAGGTCAATAATAATCAATAGATCCTCAACAACAATATCGTCTCCGCCTGGAGCTGAGCCTTTTTTAATTTTTTTTATAACTGTAAATATCTCCTGGTTATTGGTTGCCTTAACATACATTGTGTTTTGATTGTATGTTTTGTTAAATCTAGTTTTATTATTTGAGGTTAATGAATTTATTATGTTTGAGCCTACTGTTGAAAAGTACTGATTGAAATTATGAACTATGTCAGGTGTTAATGTTATATTAGAATTATTTACTATTATTTGACTTAAGTGTTGTGATGTTATTTATAACTGCCCACTGTTTTTTAAAATTTGATCCAGCATTATTCCACTTTTTGCGAAAGTAATTGGTTTTTAATAATTTTCTTTGGTGATTTATTTTATTTTTTATAAAATTAAATTTATTTTTAATTTCTAAATTATTTGGATTTTTAATTTTTAATTTGTAAATCGCTTCTCTTTCCTTAATTAAATTTAAAAAGTCTAAGGTCACCCAATCATTTTTTATATTTTTTAATGTAACCTCTTTACTCGCTAGTCTTTTACATTTAGTACAAATTTTAATAAGCTCACTAAATGATTCTATTTGGCTATTATTAATATCATTTTTCACAAGCCTATAAAATTTTCGTTTATCTAGAGTTACCCTATGAATTGTTTTGCAAACACTTACTTTAATATTCTCTTTTAGATTTACATGAATAGCATTATGATCTGAAAAACTATTTTGTACAATTTGTACTTTACAATTAATATTACAATTCGATAAAACATGATCAATAACCGTTTTTGTGTGTCCCATAATTCTAGTTGCACTCTCTTCATTTATTTCATTGATGATCTTGAATCCATTTAAGTTTATTAAGTTAATATAGTCCACAACTGATTTGTTTTGCTTGTCAAGTAAATTGACATTCATGTCGCTAAACACCAAAGTTCGTTTCTTCTGTTTACACAACATAGTTTCTAACACTTCAAAAAATTGAATAGAACTAAATGACGGAGGTCTATACACACCAAAAATAAAAAGTTTTTGTTCTTGTAAGTAAACACTTGCAATGTCTGTTTCTAGCTGATTTTCAATGTTATTTACACTGTGTTTTATCTCATTTTTAACGTAGATTGCAGTTCCTCCTCCTCTAGCATCCCTACATGAATGAACTGACTTATAATTTTTTAAATTATAATATTGCGTTTGATTTTTATAAAGCCAGGTTTCTGTTAGGATTAGTACATCTATGTCATTTATGATTAATAATTCTTGTATTTCTTCTAATTTGTTGTTCATGCTTCTTATGTTAAGGTAGTATATTTTAATTTGATTTTTGGTTGTGGATTTCTTTAGTTTTTTAATTGGAGTAATTGATCATCAGTTTCTATGATTTGAGTTTGACTGTCTTTAGTCTTTCTAACAAAAAGCTTTCCATTTTTGAACCAAGTAAATTCAATAATGCCATCTTTTTTTTAATTTTCTTGCCTTGGCACTCAGTTCTCTATATTCTTTAGTCCATATAGTGTCCATTTTACGTCCATAATTATTATTTCAGAAATGCAAGTTAAAACGTATTGTTGGCTGCATAACAACAGTTATGATCAATCTCACTGACATTCAAGCAAGCGCGTGCTATAAAGGACTTAAGCTATCAATGAAATGTTAAACACTTGTAGTATTGCAAATGTAATGTTCCTGAGTCGAATACAAGGATTTCCTGCAATGTTCAACATTGAATGTTGTAACTTTTAACAACTTTTAGAATATTTATATTCCTAGTGGGATTGTTACTGAGCCAGACAAAAGGCATTTCAGTCATGATGGAGAAAATTTTCTGCAACATCGCAATGAAAAAAACAAAAAACAGTTAAAGTAAGCAAAAAAGCAGGTCCTGGATGCTGGAGGAATGGTTCAAACACCTTATAGACGTCCATCGGTTGACGACTTATGGATGTCCAAAGTTGTGACATCTGGACTCTAAACGGATGTCCATGGGACGTCCATAGAAAAAAAAATGGACATCCTATGTTCATACAGACGTCCACGAGCATACGTCGTCATTGGTCAAACAGCTTGGATCGTTCAATTCATCAGAACTTTCTTTAGATGTATGTAGATGGTAGTGATAAAAGTGGACCTTTCGAACTTCTAATAGGCCCAACAGCTGATTTTGATGAGGGGTAAATCCATTTAGAGCGGTTCGTCTCGTTGATTTCTGTTATATTCACGCCAGATCATTGGAGATTGGAACTTAAAAGAGGGTCTCTTCTTAGTGGCCCATAACCGTAATTCTTCAACACAGATTTTGCATACAATACTGGGCTTCCAACGTCAATGTCAAATCAAGAAAAGTGTCAAAATTCGAACTGTGTAGTCGAAAAATTGCATCAAATCTTATAAAAACCTAACCTCAAAGTTTATATGGGACAATAAGCTTAAAGCAACCCCCGTTTCTACGACACTGTGTTCAGTCAAACAATTGTAATTATGTTTGAATATGTGTTTTGGTAGTAAGTGACTGTTTCCAAGACTACCATAGTAGAAGTTATATTAAAAAAACTGATATGATAAGTAATACTTCATCACCCTGTATCTTGGAAACATAATAAATAAAATATTTATTTAGATTTTCTTCTTATTTTTACTTGCTCAATCTTTTCCTAAATTTATGCCAATAAGTTTAGGGACACCTTGTATATATATATATATATATTATATAATATAATAAACTTACAGGCCAGCCCATAAATTAAAGCTTTTAAAAGATAACGAAGGTAAAGTAAACAGTCTCTTAATAAACAAAACGAGCACGTAAGTCTAACGTAAACAAACCATCTATTAAAGCAACATCGTTACACGCCTGCCATTAGGGCCGTATTCCAAATTTTAATACGATACACCACAGGGCCGGCTTTATCCTATGTATAGTATTAATTACACAATACAAACTTGGTACAAAATAAAATGTTTGCTAAGTATTAATTAAAGGTTAACGAAAAATGGTAATACATTAATTACCAATAAACAAACTGCGAGACCCTCTCGAGTAAAACAAAAAAGAACAAATGGTAGAAGCAGTAAATTAAAAAAAAATACAATTTCTTAATTGTTAAATAAGAAAAGAATACGTAAACACAATTTCTACCACAAGAAGAAAGCAAAGAATAGGTTTAAGTTGAATGGTAAATGGTATAATACATTAACAATAAAATAAATTTAAGAACACAAAAAGATTCTAAGAATGTGGGAAAAGTAAAAACAACACCTCAGGGGGGTAAACAACTGAGCGCAGCAGATTCCGAATTCCGGCAGACCCGGACAGAGACCAGCAAGGATGTCCAAGCAATGTACTAATAACCCAAGCCTCATTCATGAACCCCAATTGAATGGGGTCATTACTAATACCCTGGTTGAGGGGGGGTCCGGATTGTACTTAGTTTTGGGTCAGTTCAAGGCCAGTTTTGCCCCTACACTCCACTAGCCTAAATATAAATATCCACGAGCCTAAACATTGTCATCCACGACCTCATAGGGAAAAAAAGGTGCACAGAACACTGGCCGGCCAATCCAGACCAGAAGACCGGAATAAATCAGTGTAAGTCACATTCCAACTCCAACAACAATTAAGTCCACATTCACCATTATTTGGTCATTTTTCGCCAAATTGCGTTTCAATTGTTCATTGATATAAGGATAATAATTTTCTACGTTATTTAAGTTCGCATATTTCACTGCTGGTTTCTGCTACTTTTTGTGCTAATTTTTGCAACCTTGTTTAAGGGGCGTATGCAGAAATGTTAATTTATTTATATCAACTGATTTACGCATATCCACTGAGTTAAGTTTGAACCAATTTGGCAAAATAGAAAACATACACAATTGGGTTATGTTCGCAGTTTGCAATGTGTTCTGGCACAAGTAAATTTGCATTAGAAGGTATAAAAAACGAAAAGTACGTCTTAAAGCCTCTAAAAAGAACAAAGTGTTTGTAAAAGATTAATGAATTATATTATAGTTATAGGAATACTGTACTTGTTTATAAAAGGCAATGCTCTTTTACCTATTCTTTTACAGGTACCAATAACACCTTTTTAGGCATTTAGGCAAAAGCTTATCCTAGAAATTATAGATATAGTGGTTGCTACGCAGGTTAATTAATTATGCTAAAATTTTCGGCGAAGAAAATAATACGATTAAAATTGCCAAACCGGTTAAGTTTCCTGCCCTTAATTTGCCTATTTTTAATGGGGTCCATAATAATACAAGGCTTAACTTTAAACAGATTCAATTTTTAAAAAGGTGTCTTGTGGGTGAGCCATTAAATTTCATTAAAAATCTACCATAGTCCAATGAAAATTATCCAACTGCGTATAAAAATCTTCAAGATAAATATTAAAATCCGCGTTTGCTTGCCATGCATTATTAAAGCAAAATATTGCGGCTTTAGGTGCACTCGGACTTCCCACTCAGGAATGGTGTTTTCTTCTGTTTCATCATGTGTTCACGCGAATTGAAAAAAATGTGTACTCAGTATAAAGATATATCAGGTATTAAGTATTAAGAAAACATAATATCTAATATTGATTACATTTTTAGGTTTCCAGCAATGGAATTGAAGCAATGACATATCTGATAGACCGGTTAGGAACAGATTTTAGACCCTATCTACAGACAGTATTACAAAATGTAATTGACAGGCTTGGTGATGCAAAAGATACAGTACGAGAAAAAGCACAGCTTTTAATATTGAAGATATTAGAAAGAAATGTAGTTTCTCCACATACTCTTTTAGAAAAATTAACACCTGGTTTCACTCATAAAAATGCCAAAATACGAGAAGAAATACTTAGATGTCTTGTTAATATTCTCAATGAGTAAGTAAAAAATAAAATGAATTCACCCAATTATTTATTTTTTAATGTTTTGTTATAAAGTTATAAAATAGATTTCTTGTTAATATTCTCAATGAGAAAGTAAAAAATAAAATGAATTCACCTAATTATCTATTTTTAAAAGTTTTGCTATAAAGTTATAAATAGTTTTAATTATACAGGGTGTTTGGGAAAATGTTGGAAATATCTCGGATTTAGATAAAACATGAAAAAATAAGATGACAAGTTCTTATGGAATTTTTTCCTACTGGCCCTCCTTACGGAGACATGAGCCCTAAAAGGACGCTCCTAGAAATTATTTTTCCTTGAAAAACTTTTAAAGTAGGTACTGAATGTAATTTAATAAAAATTTAATATGATGGATCCTGGTAAGGATCTCTTAAAATAGTGTCCTTTAAACATTTTTTGCTTTTTTTGTTTACCAGGGGCGGACTAAGTTTTACACCTTAGTGCTTAAATTTTAAACACCCCGTTTGATAAAGACTTAAAATATTAAATCTGCATAGCTTGAACCTAAAATAAAATAAAGGTACTCAAGGAGGACAGGTATAATTTTTCCGGTGTCGAAAAGGCCCAAGCCACTTTTTTTACATTTTTCCGTAAAATTTGGCACGTTCCGTTGAAATCGCTTAACTTTCGAACGAGTGGAGATTTTTCGACCAAATTTGGGGAAAAGGTGCTTTGGTACAATAATTTGTTTCGTATTTTTTCTATTTTTTTTCGGCCTGGATAAATTTTCGAAATTAACCAAACAAAATACACGAATCGACGGGTAAAAGAACAAACTTTGAAGAATAAACGAATCCGCCAAAGGCCCGTTTAATTTTTGTTTGGTAGGTATATAAAAAAGTTTAACAATTAAAATCCCCAAAATCAAATCTATTAGAGGGGGATCCAACAAAATATTAAGAAATAATGCGGCATTGCCAAATTTTGTATAAATTTCTCAAACAAAAAAATATTAATAATAAAATTCATTTATCAGGTAGATCTTTGAATTAAAGTCAATTTATTTTTTTTCGCAAATCATACATATACCGGGGAACCCAACAAAGTATCTTGCAACACTTCCCTATTGAAAATGCCATATAGAACCATATAAAAAACACGTATCTGGATTCTATATGGTTTCTATCTGGTTCAATATAGGTATTTGAAACAGGCATTTCACTATAGAACCAGATAGAAGATTACATTATAGAACCAGATAAAAACACTCTAAAACACTATACCCTGCTTAAAATACCCCATAGAGACCTATACAAAATAATCTATCGGGCGCTACCGGATTCTATATGTGCATTTGTCCATGGGTTTTTCCGGATACATCCCGATAGAAAATGTATAGGAAATTACCTATAGGCACACCATAACTTTTACATTTTCCCTATTGAGACCGATAGAAAATAACTCAATGAAGGATATATAGGGATATCCCTATAGAGCAACCATAAAACATTTGACAAAATTTTATTAAAACCTATAGGGTCCTATAGGGAAAAAACTAATTTCTACATTTATGTGTATTTTCCCCATTGAAACCGATAGCAAATAAATCAATGGTGGATATCCCTATAGAACAACCATAAATCTCAACTACGGGTCCTATACAAACCGATACACCCTATAGAAACACCATACATCCCGATACAAATATCTATCGGTTTGAACAGGGTCTCTATGGGGTATTTTAAGCAGGGTAGAACCAGATAGGGAAACCTATCTGGAAATACATATAGAACAGAAACCAGATAAATCCATATACATCCATATACATGTCTTTATAAAGACATGTATATGGTTGTATATGGATTTATCTGGTTTCTGTTCTATATGTATTTCCAGATAGGTTTCCCTATATGGTTGAATATGAAAATTTTTAAAATGGAAATCCATATTCAACCATATAGAATCCGTAATGTAAACCAGGACTTTCCATATAGGACCTATAAAACCATATAGAACCAGATACGTTTCCTTATCGGATTCAATATGGGTTCTATATGGCATTTTCATTTTTCAATAGGGTTTTACAGAGTGAACAGGTGACATACATAATATGTCATATTATGTCAAGTTGACAGATGATAGATGACAGGTGACAGATGACAAATGACAGGTGACAGATGACAAATGACAGGTGACTGGTGATAGATGCAAGGTGACAGGTGCCAGATTTCAGGTGACAGATGTCAAGTTGACAGATGACAGGTTACATATGACAGATAACAAATGGTAGATGACTGATGACAAATGGTAGGTGACAGATGACATGTGAGGAATATAAAAATCATCTTTACCATACATTTAGGTGGAGCGGTCGTGGCTCGATTCCCACCCGCTGCGAGCTTGTTTATTGTCAATAAAATGAACAATTTTTGAAAAAAAGAATAATAAAAGAATTAATGTTTTACTTTTAATAAAAAGGACCATAAAAAACATAATAATATAACGTATTGTTGCAAACTTTGATATGTTCCTCCCATAGAGCAAAAAGTCGTCCATATGGTGTCCATAGGACATCCATCTCTGTACAAACGGATATCCATAGTATGTCCAAGAATATTATATGGACGTTCTATGTACTTACATATAACGTAATAAATGTACATACAATTTACGTTGGAAGTGGACTTGGGTATACCGATATCTCAGTTATTAGACATGAGGTCCATATAAAACATATGTAAATTTTCACCCTACACCCAATTAACATTATTCAAGTGGTGCAATTCATAATTGACTAAAGTTTAACAACTAAATAAAAATCCAAGAATTACAGATTTTATACCATTTTTAATTTTTATTAACTAAAATTTAAAATGGTATAAAATCTGTAAGTCTTGGATTTTTAAAATAAATTTTTAATTTTTTCGATAAACTTGAGTGAATTATGAATTGCACCACTTTATTTTAAATAATCTTAATTTTGTCCATAAATGATGTCACACTTTTTTTAATATTTTTGACCCCCCTCCCCCTCGTCACAAATTATAGTACCCCACTGTCGTCACGTCACACTGATTTTATTTTTAAGTTAGGTCTATCCTTTATTAAATACCTACTTTGAATAAAAATACAAAAAAGAAAGATTATAATATTTTTTTAATTTACTCTTTGTGACGTCAGAACCTGCTAAAACTCCCTCCGGCTATCACATTTATGACGACCCCCTCCCCCCAAGTGTGTGACATCATTTATGGACGGCCCCTTACTTAATTTTTGGATAATAAGTTTATTATTGTAAACACGTGTACTTATTTTTTTGTAATTACTGGGCAAGAACGAGGTATCTCCATAGTTACTATTACGATTACTAACAAGGTTTTTCTTGTCTCCTAAACATTTTCCGAATATGGAGTTACCCGGTTCTTGCACCGAGCCCATCAATTGTGGTTATGTTAATTATAAGAATATGTTTATAAATTTTGAAATATCAAATAAAGCTGTTAAAAAATGCAATCATAAAAAAGAGTACCTTTATTTTAGTTTAAGGTTCAAGCCAGGGTGGAAGAAGAAGGTGATATAGCTGCTATCTCTACAGTACAGAAGCAAGCATCCAGATAAGTCAGTATTTCGTTCGTTGTTCGTTAGATGGCGAGTCAAATAAGAACCTAAGGTTTTACCAACAAAATCCATATATTCTATAACAACTTTTAACAACAAATTATAAGATAACGAAAACTCAAGGAGAGTCTTCTACCCTCCTTAACGAAAATTACATCTTTCCTTACAGCATTATTATAATAATTTGCAGAACGATTGGCAATACTGTAGTATTGCCAACTGTTCTGCCAAAATGCACAGTCGCCCCAAACGGACAAAAGTGACGTTGAAATGGTTTTATTTGAAATTTAATTAAGCTTAGTGGTCTATTCTTGGAAGTTTATCTATTCAATTTTACTAAAAATGGGAAAAGTTTGTTGTGCACCGGGATTAAAACAGGTTCCACTTCAATGCGCCATCTATTGAAAATTTTAACAAATACTGAGTTATTTGGCCGCTTTCCGGGATAGAGATGTATCACCCCCTTCTTCCACCCTGGTTCAAGCTAAGAAGATTTACTTTTTTTAAGTCTTTATCATACGTGTTCAAAATTTAAGCATTAAGGTGTAACTTAGTCCGCCCTGGTAAACAAAAAAATCAAAAAATGTTTCAAGGACACTATTTTAAGAGATCTATACCAGGGTCCATTATATTACATTTTTATTAAATTATATTCAGTAGTTTAAAAGTTATTTCAGCAGCGTCCTTTAGGAGCCCATGTCTCCGTAAGGAGGGCGTGTAGATTTTTAAATTTAAGGTTTTTAAAATATTTAATTCGACAAAATATGACTTTTGTTACATTTCGGCAACAATGAACATTTTCCAATAAAACTCTTTAAATTGGATATTTAATTGGGATATACAATGTATGATATACATCTATAAACCTAAAAGTATCATTTTCAAAATTGTATTTTTAAATTGAATATTTAATTGGGTTATAAGTCTGTAAAATTAAGTACAAAATTGTATTTTTAAATAATACGTGAATTTTTAAAAATAACAGTTTCGTGTTGTCGGAATCGTCATTATTTGAAATAAGTAATAGTTTATTCCCAGGTAGCACACTGACGTTTGCTGACGTCATTTCAACGTCATATAAACGTCACCAGACGTCAGTGTGCTACCTGGGTTGTATACATTAATTAAATTTTATTTTACAAGACAATATCAATATATTTGCAAATTATGTTAGGGTAGGCTATTTAAAAATGAACTTGGACACACGTATTATACCTATACTGCTATGGAGAAAGGCAGTAGCTACAAAAAAATTCTAAATGCGTTTTCTTGTGCTATGACAAAGCTATGGACATTTTGTATCTTAATTCAACAAAGAAATGCAGTAAACTATCTCATAAGTTAAATAAATCAATTAAATACTTACTGCATTTTATAAAAATGTAGTTTATGCCAAATTTCTTGTTTAGCAGTAA